AGGGAGTGTTCGAGCGAGAATGCACGAAGGCGGCGCAATGCCTGCAATACAGACAACACATTGGAATTAACGGAGTTTCTGAAATAAAAAAAAACATTTGCATGCAATAATCTACCCAAAATATGTTAAAATCTTCAATAAACTTAACTTACGAGAATAGTTGAAGAGAGCTACCGTGAAAAATTCATAACAAAAAAACAATAGAAATAACAAACATAAAATAGAAATAACAGCCGAAAAGTAGCTCCTGTACGAGGCGGTCGACCAGCTGACCATTCCTGGCAATTTGCCAATCAGCGTATTGATTTTTCACCAACTTCGCTCCAGTGCGAATGTGGTGAAGGACAACTTGAACACGTAGTCAGCCTAACGAGGGGCGGAGGCCTCCCGTCCCCCACTGATCCTGGCCTTATTGTGCCCTATCCAGCCGTTTTCCGACCTAATTCCTGCACAAATGTTATCAGAGGGGGCTTAGAATTCTAACCATGTGCATATCTTCGAAACCATTTATTCGTTAACAGTGCCTTTAAAGTGAAAGCATAGATAAGATTTCTGACGCTATAAGGTATTGAAATATTTACAACATTGCTGATCTTTATTTCTCGTTGTTAATTTCGTTGATGCACTCGTTGTTCTCGTATAGGGCAGAATGCTTGTGTACTCGAATTCCGCGAGTCTTTTCTATTTCCAAAGCAATAAGTTATACACGAGAGGAATCACTTGAAAACAGATACTCTAAAAACTCAACATTGATGTAACAGTGGACAGTGGAAAAAGAGTGTGAAGCAAATATGCTGTTCATAAAATGCGCACATTATATATGCTCTCCCTATATAACCATGGACAAAACAGTCGAGTCATTAGCGGGAGAATAGCATACATAGGAATGAGCGCCGCCTGCTTTTAACGATCCTTTCAACCTAAAGGGAATAGTTTGGGTACAATTTAATATACATAGAGTAGTTGCCATTACAAAAACACGTCAGTGGCTTGAATTACATTTCTCTTTTCACATCCCTCACAAATTCTTGTGCTTTCTAGCTCCATTTTCTCACGGCTGTAGTTCATTTTTGTCAAAGACTTCTTATTTCTCCTAGTTTGTTATCTTCAATACATTCCGTAACGACGTTTGTTTGTTATCTTCTTCGAAAAGATTCCGTAGCGACCTTCAAAGAATTTCACCCGAAATACATAGACTCGCCTTAAAGCCATTCTTTTCGGCAAGGCTGCACTGAGAAAGCCATTCTCGTAATGCAGCGCGATACCACAAAACTACATGGTTACTTGTAAAAAAATTTTTAGGAACAGGTATCTGGATAATCTGGTAAGGCATATCCAACTGCTGCTATTTCTATATTTGATTACTCGCAAGGCAGTTCTCCACTTTCTGGTGTGGTGTATAATGGAGACAGTGTTTGAGGCGTCACTACGCCGTATCTAAACGATTTTTTGATGCCCCATTTGCTGTTCTCGTATGTCGAATATCCGCCCTAGCGAGAAATGTCAGGAATCATTATATCTCAAATTGTGCTTCAAATGATTTTACAAAAAGCTGACTGATCTATGTGGTCTCTATCTTGATAATTTAATGATTGGTTTACCGTTTCCAGCTGCGGCTGTGACTTTTGGAGCTGTTTCAATGTAGCTTAGCCTTTTTATTTGCAGCAATCATCAGCATTCAACTTACCAATGTTAGTAAGCAAAGCACAGCTCCTGAACAACCAGCACGTGGAACCAATGTATGATGAGGTAAGTTTTCTAATCTCATTTCGAAAAGATTTTTAACTCTCATATGATTGACGCTATATACTGCAACTTGATCTCTTCTCAGAGGCGCTCCGTGAGTGACACAAATTTCCGAAAACGGTTTCCAATTTGGAGGAACACGGGTAGGAAAAATATGAATGTAAGGCAGAAGCGATAGTAGCGTTAAGGAGAGGGTGTCGTCAATGGAAAACTGGAAGTAAAATTGAGAGGCAGGGTTATTGAGGACTACATTCTTGTCAATGACTGCTGCAATCCTTCTGGAATCTAGTGTCACTGAACTGCGCCTCACTGCTCGCCATTTTTTCTCCACTCTCCCAATGACTAATTTTCCTTTTTCTTTTCGCTGCTCTTTAACGCACAATAAAATTGGGTTTTTAATGCATAACCGAGTTGTTGATCGGTGTCTCTGACAACAGATGTTGCGAAGGATTTACGAGACAACAAGGTGCCCGACTGCAACGTTAACGTGTCCCATTTCGAGATTTTCGGCAACAATGCGCGCTCTTACGATTAATGACATCAGAAGGTGGAGGTCTAGCAAAATGCTCAATTTAGAGTTGCCCATATCTTTTGTACTTATATAAACGCATTCTTGACCACAAACATACTGCCTTCTCAGAGTTAGATGACTCTAATTGTCGATTTTCTCTATCAGCTGTTAGAACAGGGCCCTAACACTATTTAAGGACAGAGATCAAAAACATGAAAGCAGAGCTCGGTGTTGTTTTCTCTGTATGATCTCTTCAGAACAGTTTTTGATTTTGAGAATTTCCTTTCTGGTGAAGGCCACATGGGCATTGCTGGAACGGAAATCCGCCTAGATCTTTCTAGCCACATTATTGCTCAAAAACGGATATGCTTATATGGAAAATTTTGCGGTGGAATGAGCACCGTGAGGAGGAGGAAAACCTCGAACGAACGATCTTCAAAGCTGGTCTTCTAAATCGTCGAGGAATCGTCGACCAGCAGAATTGGAGCAGCGCTGGGGAGTTCACATTTCAAAGCGCAAGAAAACGCTGGAGGGGGCAGGATACATGGGTTGGACTCAGAGGCGGCAAAGCAGCTTGGTGCTGGAACGATGAGGTTTGAAGAGTTGTGAAGCAGGAGACGGACGCATCCAAGTGCTGGCAAAAGATGAGACCTTCGGACGTCCTGACTGCATGCATGATCTTCAAGATGATCGCCGGCTGCCGGAGCAAAGGCTAAGAATACGGAACAGGACGACATATTGTAGTAGCTCGTCGATAGAAAAGGGGAGAAGTTTGACTCCAGATCGGCCAGAGCCCGGCAAGAACTGCACTGATGTCACCCTAAGGAGACCTGTCAACTTAATGCGCGAATAAAAGAATACTCCGATAAGCTTCGAAACGATGAAAATCGACGCAACATCAGTTCCAGCTCCTTATAGAAGCGACATCTGGTCCTATTGCAGTATGGACAGAAAATTAAGTTTGATGAGCAGTAGGGAAAATGGAAGTTGGGAAAGCAACTGGTCTAAATGGGGTACCTCTGAGGCATGGTAGTTGCTGGGAGGCGGCTGGATCAGGCGGCTTACCCAAATCTTACTATGTAACTGCTCAGGGAAAAATGCCAGATTCGTGGAAAAGTACTGTCATCGTTTCCGTCTTCAAGCAGAAGAGGAACGCAATGGAGTGTTCCAACTGTCGCGGACTCAGGATGGCTGCAAATACTATGAGAATATAAGAGTGGTCCATATATTCAAAGCTGAGGGAACTGATCACAATCTCATAGGAGTAGTTCGGCTTCATGCTTTGAAGATCTATAACGGAGGTTATCTTTATAGCTAGACCCATAATGGAAACGTATCGAGAGAAGCGTAGACTCTACTATCTTGCCTTCTCCGATTTGGAGGTTTTTGACCGCCTGCTGCGACCAATCTTCTGTAAAGCGCTCCGAGAACGAAACATTTCGGAACACCTGGCTTCCTTGATCAGAGGAATGTACGACAGGTCTAAAATAACTTTACGCTCTCACGGCCTAGCAAGACCCATAGGCGTTGCCGATGGGGCTCATCAAGGGTAAACTCTGAGCCTCTTCCTGCTCACAGAAGACGTCATCACAAAAGGATTCATGCATGGACCAGAGATCGAAGAGATCAGGCTGTGGAAGCCCAAACAACACTCCTGATGCTTGACACCCTCAGCAGAGCAAGGGGGAGTTCTCGCATTCGTAGTGCAGTACTCAGTGCGAACTCAACTATTAAGAGGAAAAAAAACTTTTTATACCTACTGATTCAACACTGTTCTACGTACAAATTTCAGAGCTACTTTTTTAGAAGCCTGATAGTAATCCACTGATGAACGTTCCGATTCAGTCGACTGCACAGAACATGAGCATTTTCAACTCAGATATCCAACCTTACGTCGTAGTACGTTTCACGCTTCCAATTATCATATTTCTGCTTGCTTTTCACTGGAAAAGTATAGCTCAAATCTCAGATGTTACTAGAAATGCGATATCCGAAAATTACCAATAATTTATTAACTCAAAAATTCTGGCTCTCTGGCATGTTACAAGATCATTTTCTACGGTTTATTCTTTACAAAAAAGCTTGCCAGGTGCTTGATCATCATCTGAGGAGATTCTTAGCCTATAAAGAAAAACGGATATTTGTTAGCTCTCTAAGAGAGCTCTTTTTGCATTAATCAGGTATAAGATCAAAGCACACCCATGCATATCTTTACTTCAAGATGAAAGCGGCAGAAGGTTCCTGACTGATACTCAGAAAGCTGAAAACCTTGCACAATGGTTTTCTTCTGGTTTTGCCCCAAGAACATGCTATTATAGCTCTGCAGTAGCTTCTAAGCTGTGCGCGCTTGAATACTATCAGTCAATGTGTGATAACTTCCCAGGAAGCGCGGTGAGTATTGAAATCATTGAGTATCCCTCAAACTGATTACAAGAACTGCGGCACATCGTTGAGCGAACCTATTTCTGTCATACCTAATCTCATTAATGTCTAGTGAAGGTCCCATCCAGCTGGAAGGAGTGTGTCGTTACAGGTATACCTAAAATAATCAGAACAAAACTAACTTCTTCTTTTTGAGCTCCTGGAAAAATATTGCGCGACCAAATTGTGTCGCATTTAATGAAAAACAATTTCATGGAACGATACGTTTTCATTATCAGTGCTTCCACAGTTAAACTTACGGCAGACTGCATATTTGATTGAAATTCTGGTATTAACGAAGAGAATGTTATACATATTATCTACTCGGGTTTGACCATGGCCTCTGATAAAGTGAATCACGAAAAGCTTCTTTTCAAACTTCAACAGTTAGGAATTTTAGGCTATATTCTCAGCTGGATTCAGTCTTACTTAGAAGATGCATATGTGCGTCAGAAAGGGTAACAGCTTTTCGCAGAGGTTCCCTTTCGCAGGTATTTACAGCAACAATAGTCATGATTAGGTATACCGAGCCCTAAACCAATCTACTCGCAACATAACGGAGTGGACTAAATATGAAAATTACCTGGGGAGTACCTGTAAACTCCACGAAAACATCTGTGCTCCTTTTGGGTGGAGCCGTAATGGAACCGAACGCAGTCAACAACATTTCACTGAATCCTTCATGCGAAGTTCGCGACCCCGGGTTTCTTACCAACTCCAGCTCGGATTTTTCGCATCACATTGATACAGTAGTCCGAAAAGCCTTTACAGCGTCGTAGGTTGTATTAACCTTCGACATTTTTAATAACACTTTATCCACACGGCTTACGTTTCAGCAATATCGCCTTCGTCGGAGCATGTAAGTCGAAATTATATTTGTGATTCGTGGGTTACCAATTCAAATTACAAGAAGAGGATTCTAAAGGGAAGTGAAACAGAAGCGATGGGCTGACCTGTAACCGGCTGGAGCTGTTTCTCTGCACCCTGAGCCCGAAGTTCTTCACGGCGTTTTTATATGTGCTGGGACTCAGAGGTCAGGTATTTGTGATTCTATTCGTTCAGTTACCAAAGTAAGATTACAAAAGAAATTCTCTGGGTTAGTAAATGAGGAGCGATGTCAGTTGGTGTCAGAACACATGGGAGTGACCCCTGCAGCTGGAAAAGCGAACGGTAGTTCCGTGTCTTTCTCCAAAGTTACGGTCATTGGGAACGCAGAATTGTCAAATGATGCAGTCGTTCTTTTAGAGTTAGGACCCAGTTACGCCCCTAGTCAGTCGCTCAGCCATGGTACACTGCGTAAAATGGTGGGCAGCTTGCAAACTCTACTCGATCGCCTCCGCCGCAAAGCTAAAATGTTCCCTGACCTGACCGCTGAGTCTCAGCAATATAAAAACGCCGTGAAGAACCTCGGGCTCAGGGTGCAGAGAAACAGCTCGAGCCGGTTACAGGTCAGCTCATCGCTTCTGTTTTACTTCCCTTTAGAATCCTTTTCTTGTAATTTGAAATGGTAACCCACGAATCACAAATATAATTTCGACTTACAGGCTCCGACGAAGGCGATATTGCCGAAACGTAAGCCGTGTGGATAACGTGTTATCAAAAATCTCGAAGGCTAATACAACCTACGACGAAATTATTTCGGTTATGCCGAGATTAATCGAAAGTGGGACATGGGATAGCCTTTACACTGTTTTTTCTAATTTTTGGAGTATTCGATACAATGATGCTTCAATTTCGTTGAGGCTTTTTAAAGTGTATGTTGTTCCCATACTCGAATGCGGTTCACAGATATGCAACCCTCACACTGAGAGCCTCCAGGCAAAAATTAAAAAGGTTCAACAAACATTTACGAGTGTATGTATTGATTTACAGATGCTATCCCAACCTAGCATACCTACGTTCTTAACCCAGTAACGATGACCGGTTGCATCGCATCAGTCTAAAAACATTGTCCAGGAGAGTATTTCAAGATATAGTATTCTGCTTCAAAACGCTGAAATGCGAACTTAAGCCTAGGCCGAGTAAGTGCAGGGTAATCAAACCTTGCGAAGGTCGTGTCACTTCGTTATTTCTGCATGCCTAAAACTGAACAGAAGTCATCGTGCTAGTGTACTTCACTCGTTTTTTTTTCACATGAAGCCAGATGGCTTCAGCTGTTACCAGTAGACCTGCAGAAGGCGCCAAATGCCAATGTGTTCAAAGGGAAATTGATGGAGGTAGACCTCCTTGCCTTGTTAGGCCCACAAAAGTTCTAGCGTGTGAAGCTTGAGGAATATCCACTCGTAGGTAGGGTGTTTCTCATTGTGCCTTTTTTTACTTTTTTGGTTTTTGAATTTGTAACCGATGTTTTCTTTGCTTGTTACTGTAGCGCTCCTTAGTGTGTACATTAAACAAATGAATAAATATCTCAGCACTGGCCTGCTTCTCACTGAACTGACGGCATTTCTGCTTGAAGTGAAGTCGAGGCTTAGTTCCGTCAAAAACTGATATTACATCAAAAACTGTTGTCAACGCTAATAATAATGCACCCATTCTTCTATGATCCTGCTACAATGCAGTAGAGATTTCAATAGGAATATAAATATTTGCATAAATAGAATATTTATATAAACAGAATATAAACATTTGCATCAGTCATTTAGACTATAATAGCAAGGGTTCCTAATACCTCACCTTTTATTTTTCAGACTGAGACGAGGCAAGGGGTCCCAATCGTGGAGGACACATCAATAAGGGAGTGCAACGAGTGGTCGATATACAGCGTCTCATTACCAACAAGATTACACGTGCAGTGCAACTGCTTTGGTCCAAGTACTTGAACATGAAGCAACGACTATCAACAATCTAGTTGAAGCATATATACCACATCTCTCATAATGGCCTGGGATTATGTACAGACTACTTGAATGAAAAATTTTCTCTGAGTTGAGGCCGCTTTTCAGGTACTCATCCTGGTCAGACTGTACGAGAATACACCATATCACCGAGTGATATAATGAACTACGCACTTATTGAAACACCTAATTCGCTTTTATTACCCCTTAGAAATCCTTTCGCTGGTGATAAATCCTAAGACTCTTCACGAACACTTTTCATCGATGTGCGCTACCTAAAATTGTAACTATTTTAGTGATGAGTGGCGCGACTGCACTGGCTTGCGATAGGTTTGCTCGTCACCAGCGGCATGCATAGTCCGATTCTACTGTTTCTGACCGGTTTCGCTTACTCGTAATCATACTTACTGACAACTTAACAACTTTGATGGAAAGGAAGGCAAAAATTCAGAGCAGTCACGGTACTACTGATTCCGATGCGTTAGAAATATTGCGCAGAAAGGAACCAGAAAAAAAGGCTTGTGCAACCTTATGACCGAAATGGAAATCATGGTCACTTGGTGAGAACTGCGCTGACTTATTGTGTTTGAGAACCTATACAACTAGCCTTTGAAGATGCTCCATACTATTCGTAATACTTTGACTTCAGGAGATGTTCCATACTATTAATATTATTTTACTTAAAGCACCGCTAAGTCAAACGGAAATTTTTCATAAAGTCAATGCTAAAAAAGTAACAAGTCAACGACAAAAAACAAAAACGTAGAAGTGGCAAAAACTACTATACATATCTAAAGTAATCTCTTCCACCAATGTTATATGACAAAGACAAAAGCCTCGCAAAGAAAGATTCGAGCAAGATCACTTTCATCGGTAAAAATATGTCACAGGACAAAATAAAACTAGTACTGTACCAGCTATCAAACCGATTGAACTATCACTACAGGAATGTCAGCTAATAAATATTTCATGATTTCTTCGGCAATGATGAGACAAAACTCTCATTTTCCATTTCTGCTTTAACTACATCCAATCCTCCTAAGAGTTCGCCATTAAGGTAGAGCTGGGGATACGTTGGCCAGTTTGAAAATGTCTGAAAGGTCTCGTTGAATCCTCGCAAACGACAGCCTTACAATCAAAGCAACTATTTTATTCTAAATTTCCAACTAAAAATTTTTGAGCAAGGCCAATAGCAATCGACGCAGGTTCAGAAGCTTGCTCTATATACCAAAAATTATGACCAGAGGAAGGGGAGTGCTAGAGGATGTATGGATTGGAGTTCAATCACCTCCCGGAAAAAAGTATGCTCTCAGGCCGAATGGGCATTATCCTTTTAGAAATTTAGAAAGGCATGGCTGAAAACCGTACAGTATTTACATTTCATGCCTGGCGATATTTTTTCAAAACGATCAACTTGCCTTGAGCCCTTGCCGCACTTCTTCATCCTGGAGAATATCAAACGTATCGTAATCAGCCCCAACTCCTTCCAACAGGTCAACCATTTTACGAGAGAAACCTAAACACACTAAATACAAATACAAACAGATATATGAACACAAAAATCGCTCACCGCACTGCGGTTGATGACGATCACCCTTCATAAACAACATCAGCTTATGCCTATTGATGAGTTTCTTCAGTCGAGCTTCTAAATTGCTTTCCTAAATAGGTCAGAACCATAAACGGTTGCAAGGATGACACGGAAATCAAATCCACCTCCTCTTTATTTGAAGTCGCAGCGGCATTGTTGTCATCCCTTTTAGGTAACTTCGCGACGAAATCGGCATCTTTCAGCTCCTCCCTAATGACATCCAGACCGCCGATAAGCTCACCATCCAGATATAACTGGGGATACGTGGGCCAGTTCGAATATGTCTAAAGCATATAGATCTACTTAATGACAAAATCTTCACCTAATATCCTTAGTACTTAAAATTCTCGTTGTGAAAAATGAAGTAAAAGCAGACATTCAGTGCTTACCTTAAGACCTTGCCTGACTTCTTCATCGCTCAGTATATCAAATGAACCAAATTTTGCACCGATTTCATTCAGCAATGCCACTGTTTGCCTCGAAAATCCTTGAAGATATAGAAAAAATTTTGATTGAGGTGCCAATAGACAAAAAAGATCAAAAAGTACAATATGGTGCTGTGATACTTATATTAGCAGTAGAAATAGGGTTATATAAAGTCAGCAGCATCGAAAGAGAACCTAGATGGTGAATAAGGAATAACAAGAGGAGGATTTGAAGTCAAAACTAGAAAAACTCCACCATTCCGTGTTGCTTACATCTAAATATGAGCAAAAGCTAGTAACTTTCGACCAAAGGGGAGTGTTGGCATTTTAATAAGCGCAATGGTAAAAAGATGTTGCTCAATGCAAAAGAAAAATCAAAATAGATAAAATAGAAGACAATAAAAAAGAAGAGTCTCACAGCAGCTTACCGCACTTCGGATTGTCCGGCGATCCTTTCATGAAAAGCATCAATCGGTGCGACTCAATAAGCCTTTTCAGACGGGTGTTGAGATCCTTTGAAAATTCAGATAGTTTTCTCAAGACCATACAATTAATTCAGTTTCTGACTGAATACGTATGTAATGACTATGTAATGATTAGACGCAATACGTAAAAGGCAAAACTTCATAGATTGCACATGATTCTGAATACCCTCGGTTTGAAAAAAGGCAGTAATGTGATACACAGTGATGGGATCACATTTTCTGAAAAAAAGGACACAAATAAGCACCTCTTCAGGTTTCGGGTGCAAAGCAGGAGGTGTTGTCGTGATATCGAAGGAGTGCTTCGTGAGCTTCATCTCTATTTCACTCGGTTTGTAACCATTCACGCGATCCACTTCTTTCCCATCCTGTTATAGTGAGTAAACAAATCAATGTTCAGTAGTTTAGATAGGGACCAAACAACGATACTGCATAATGATCCGAAGGTATTCGAAAACATACTTTAAAGAGCACCACTGTTGGAGCAGCTGCAATTGAATGCATTGCGGATACTTCTGCTACACCCTCTGCATCAATAAATGAAAATCCAACCAGAGGACCCAACTTCGATTCATCCTTAATGTAAACTATTAGATGAAATGAGTTCAATTTGGAAATAGACGACTAACTTCTAAATCTTTTAGAATTTTGTTAACTTGTTCGCAAGAAGGCGCCCATGGAGCGTAGAAATGCACGAGTGACAACCTGAAATGCACAAATCTTAGCTTTATATGAGGAACAATCATGATAATAGCAGGGTTTGAATAGTGAGAGTACGATTTCTCAGAAGTCTACTTCTCGCCGTCTCCATTGCTACAGTTTACTGAAAGGTACTGAGTTCTATACTAAGTACTCTGATTACCTACGTTTACGAGTTATCCAAAATTCATAAAACTGAGAGTCTGCAGTGTGGACGGCTAGCTTTTTCGATATTCACGGGCCGTAAACAAATGGCTTACATACTATAGTTACTAGATAAGTAAGAGAGGGAAAACCATAACGTAAGGTAGCGTGCAAGTGAACGGGCATACTTATTGGAACGACCACTTCAATCTAACAACGTTTCAGTCAAATTACAACGCCTCCTAATTAAAACAATATGAACCGGGGCAATTACTCGAACATACCTATGATCGGCAATGAACTTATTGAAGTCACTCGCACTACTGAGCTGGGGGATAGCCATCTTACTGAAAGTATTGAACCTTCAAAATGAGTCAAGAAAGAAAATAAATCCTCTATGACAAATGATGTAATGAGCAATTGTTCAAATCAGTTGTTACTTACGGTGCTATCTATTTCCACACCCCTCGCGGTCTGCAATTACGTATCAATTGCAACTACCGTAAGCTACGCTTAGTTTTATCCAATTTCATAGACTGACAAAGGTGATTAGCATGGGGTTTATATGATTAGATCCGCTCCATCTTCAGCTTTCAACTTTTCTCTAATTTTTTGATAATGGTTGTCTGCTTCGTTTCTCATGTTAAGCTTCTTTCCCTCCAATTTACAGGTATACACATTTAGTTTCAATGAAGACCACTTCCAACTCCGCCAACTTCTTAATTGTTGAGCTGAAGCAATCAACCAAACTGATATAGATGCTTAAATTGAAAATTCTGTTTCATTATGAAACATTAGGAGAAGAAAAGAAGAAGAAAGGGAAAAGACATCGTGTGAACATGAAATATGCAACACTAAATTGGTACGAATTTTTTACAATTTAGGGCTGAGGGATGTTGTGCGAAAATTTTCTCGCATAACCATCAACCAAACT